CAGCCTGTACTTGACATGGGATGTAAGAGCTTAGGAAATAAGTTGAGGGGTGTGAAGGAAGTCCTGGGGGATGTGGACCGGTGGGGGGTGTCACCAGGGCCTCCAGCTCCACTTTCTTCTAGGACAGAAGCCTCAGCAACAGAGGTTGTACCCGTTCCTTGCATCTGAACGCCAGGCCTCAGGAATCTTCCCCCACAAATATCTGGTTCCCCCTTCCCATAACCACTTGAAAAAGAAAAAGAAAGCCCTGGAACTATCCTTCCTTCCTCTTTCTCTCTCTCTCTCTCTCTCTCTCTCTCTCTCTCTCTCTCTCTCTCTCTCTCTCTCTCCCCCGTCTCTCCCTCCCTCCCTTTCTCTCTCCCTCTTCCCCCCTCTCTCTCCCTTTCTCTCTCCCCAGTCCCTCTTTCCCTCCCTCCCCCCCCTCTCTCCCTCTCTCTCTCTTCTCCTCCCCGCTCTGGGTATTCTATGCTCTCTCTTCTCCCTTCTGCTGTGCCACATTCCCAAGTTTACTTTGGTTTTAATTTTAACCTGCATTCTGTTCCCAAGACCCTGTTTGAGAGCAGGGATGGGGGGGGAGGGGAGGGCGAGGGTCGTTTCAAACCTATGGAAATTTAAAAAGTAGCCCCAGATAAAAGAAATACCAAAGCACCCAGGAGAATTCTGCTTCATTCCGAATTGCAGTCTGTGGGTTTCCAGTTGGAGAGAACCTCTTACTAATGCGAAGCAGCAGCAGCAGAAGCAGCAGCAGCAGCAGCAGCGGGATGCAGATGGAGAATGTCTTCCTCCCTGCCTCCCCTTTTATCTTTGAAGCCACAACCCGGGCAACCTCATCAAGGCGCCAAGGCACCAAGGCCAAGTGTGGGAAGTGCTGGGCACTAACAGGGCCCCCAAATGCTCCTACAGTGTTTTCAAGATCCCTTTCATCCATATTACACCAGTATCTAGACCAGTATTGAGACCAGTTACTAGACTATATCAAGACCAGTATCTAGGTCTATCAAGACCAGTATCTAGACCATATCAAGACCAGTATTTAGACCATATTGAGGCTAGTATCTAAAGGGGCAAAGAGAGCGGGGTAGTCTTGTCTTCTTCTTCTTCTTTTATTTAATTTTTGTTAGTGAAACACCATGAGGTACAGTTGTAGATTTACAAATTTTTGTGCTTGGGTTTCAATTATACAATGATCAAACACCCATCCCTCCACCAGCGACCATTTCATACCACCATGAGTCCCAGTATCCCTCCCACCCCCCCATCCCACCATCCCACCCTGGCTCAGTGGCAGGGTATTCCCTTTTGTTCTCTCTCTCTCCTTTTGGGTGTTGTGGTTTGCAAAAGAGGCATTGAGTGGCAGTCATGTTTGGTCTATAGTCTACTTTCAGCATGCTTCTCCCATCCTGGGAGGATCCTCCCAACACCCTCTATTTGGTGCTCCTTTCTCCATCTGAGCTCCCTTTTCCCCTAGCATGTGTGGCTGGCATCCAAGTCATGGAGCAGAACTCCTGGTACTAAACTCAGCTTGTTTTCTTTTAAACCTTAGGGCAGGAGAGATAGTACAGAGACAAAGGCGCTTGTCTTGCATGTGGCCTATTTTCATTCAATCCCTGGTATTACATATAAGTCTTTTTTTTAATTTTTAAAATTTTTATAAAGTAGTTTACAATACTTGATTATATTTAATATTCAAACACCAATACCACCACCATAACATCTTCCCACCACCATATTTGGGATGTTTCCATCCCAAACCCCAACCCATGCCCCAAAGTAGACCCGAAATAATTCATTTTGTGTCGTTTGTTATGCATAAACTGCTGAAAGGGATCCTTAGAGGAAAGTGTGTGAAGATAGTTGTATTTCACCCAGGGGCCACTAAGCCCTTCTATAACAGATTACTAACGCGTTGTTGAAGATTGAGCCTTGTGTGCTTATAATATATATATATATATATATATATATATATATATATATATGTAAAAATATTTCCCTCTAAGATTGGTTACCTTCTACTTTTAACCCCACCAAATATGGTGCACTACTCTTGGGGTATGGGTAGTGTGTGTGTGTGTGTGTGTGTGTGTGCGTGTGTGTGTGTAAGTGTCTGTCTGTGTGTGTGTGTGTGTGCTATGAAGTGTCACGTGGTCATGAATGTGGTCCAGGAGAAAGTTCACTCGTGGGTGAAGCTTAGCCCGAGAGTATGGAGAGCAGCCATGAGCAGGGTGGCAGTTGAGTTCTGGAGGTTTTCGGCTGCTGGGGCTGGGTCCGTTGGGGCAGGGAGGGGCTCACTAGCTCCCCTCTGGGATGCGCCCTGGCACGGGGTCCAGCGGGATGGTTATGGCATGTCATTTTACTGCATATAAGTCTTAGGGACACCCCTGAGAACCATTAGATGTGGCCCAAAACTCTCCAGAGGGTCTTAATCACGACTACAGAGATGACTCCAAGGGCCAGAGCAAGTGCTTTGCATGGGGGAACCCCAGGTTTGATCCCCAAGTTCTCATGGTACCCTGGGCACTATGAGGTATGGACGGACAGTAATGTAATGAAAGTTTAGATTGTTAGCTTGCCATATCCATTTTGTGCATTGATGTCCATTATAATGATATCACATTGATTCCTGCCATGTTTGCCAGCCCCTCGCCCTCCTGTCACCCTCATTGTCTCCCCGTGACTCAGGGTGCGTGGGATGGAGAGGGTGCCTCATGGGCTCCAAGAGTCTCCACGGTCAGGAGTTCCTTTCCCTGGCTTACTTTTCTCCAATTCTCTGCCTGTTGTGATCAGCCTTGCCCCTAAACCCATTCGCCTCAGCTGCTCTGCCCTCCCACCCTCTCCTGCCCCTCCTCCGCCTCCCCTGTGATAACCAACACGGGCCCCAGGAAGAGAAATAGAGGGCCGTGAAGGGCGGATCCTCTCCTAAGGTTTTTGACTCATAGGCATTTTGGAGCTTCCCAATGCAGACCACATTAACTATGCCTTTCTAAAGAACTCTTTCTCTTTTTTTTCTTTGTTCATTTGTTTAATATGATATAGCTACCAAAGTATTCTGAATGTTGATCTGCCTTAAGGAGGTTACATTTTTTTGTTTGTTTTTTATTTATTTTTTCTTTTTTTATTAGTGAAACACCATGAGGTACAGTTATAGACTTACAAATTTTGTGCTTGGGTTTCAGTTATACAATGATCAAATGCCCATCCTTCTACCAGTGCCCGTCATCCATCACCACGGGTCCCAGCATCCCCCCTCCATCCCCCCCCCCCCCCCCCGCCGTCCCATCCTGCCTCTGTGGCAGGGTATTCCCCCTTGTTCTCTCTCTCTCTTCTTTTGGGTACTGTGTTTTGCAAGAGGGGCATTGAGTGGCAATCATGTTTGGTCTATAGACTACTTTTAGCATGCTTCTCCCACCCTGGGAGGGTCCTCACAACACCCTTTATTTGGTGCTCTCTTCTCTATCTGAGCTTCCTTTTCACCTAGCACGTGTGGCTGGCCTTCAAGAACTCTTTCTCTTATACTGGGATCAGCAGTGGTGGAGAATGGGCACTGGTGGAGGGATGGGTATTTGATCATTGTATAACTGAAACCCAAGCACAAAAATCTTTAAGTCTACAACTGTACCTCATGGTGTTTCACTAATAAAAATTTAAGGGAAAAAAAAATCTAAAAAAAAAAAAAAAGAACTCTCTCTCTCTCTTGCTCCAATTGTGATGATCGAGAGGGCTGTGCAGTCAAGCCTGGCCAGCCTTATATAGCTTTGAACTTAAGGCAACTGGCAGCTACACCCAGAAATAGAATTCTGATGTAACTGCAGCCATCCTCACTGAGGCAGCCTGGCCTTTAAAAAAAATCTCCTTGTAAGGAGGAAGGGATGATAAAAGGGGGGGAGGATAGACTTTTATCTTTTTATTTATTTTTTAATCTTTTGGGGTGACACCAGCAATGCACAGGGGTTACTCCTGGCTTTGCTCTTAGGAATTACTCCTTGTGGTGCTCAGGGGACCATATGGGATGCTAGGAATCAAACCCCTGTCAGTCATGTGCAAGGCAAACGCCCTACCGCCCTACCCATTGTACTATCCTCAGCTCCAGCCCCGGGGATGGACTTTTTTTTTTTTTTTAGTTTTGAAAGTTCATTTTTATTTCAGATAGAAATTCTTCATCAAATAACACTTGTAAATATTTTATTTGTCTCATCTTTATGAGAAAGTCCATTTTTCCCATTTTCTGCACATTCTCTCTCTTTTTTTTTTTATGTAGATGGTCTCCTGATACCTTCACTTCCCTCAAACCACACTCCCCTCAAGAATGCTAGAACAGCAGGCCTTTCTGTGAGATTCCTGAATAGCAGGCCGATCTGTAGGATCCATGATTGTGAGTGTGTGTGTGTGTGTGTGTGTGTATGGCTTACTTTTCTCCAATTATCTGCCCGTTGTGATCAGCCTTGCCCCTAAACCCATTCACTTCAGCTGCTCTGCCCTCCCATCCTCTCCTGCCCCTCCTCTACCTCCACTGTGATAACCAACACGGGCCCCAGGAAGAGAAACACTGGGGCAGCCTGGCCTTAAAAATAATGTGTGTGTGTGTGTGTGTGTGTGTGTGTGTGTGTGTATATGCACGTGCGCGCGAGTGTGTGTGTAGGGGGTTGTAATCTGCTGACATCCTTGACCTTGGATATTCTTCCTGCTCTTGGTGCCAAGCTGAAACTTCAATAAGCCAAGATGAAACCAAATGACCCAAGTCTCTATTTCCCTTCTGGCCAGTCTTCAAAGTCCTGATGGTCTAACTCCGCCTCTTTGCTATTATCTTAATGATTCATGACTATTATTAAGCATGTACCATAAAGTAACAACTCATTGGCTTACGGGAAATATAATTACATGCGCAATCTGTTTAATTAAATGTGCACATTATATTTATAAGTATATAATGTGAGACACACCTTGACACACAGGTCAGGATACCCTTCAAACAATGGCCCCGTGACCCCACCATAACGCCTTACCAGGACCGTGTGCATCCCCGTGTAGAGCCTGCTGAGACACACCAAGGTGGAAAACACCACAGCCATCATCAGTCCCAAAATGAAAGGATACTGTGAAGACAAAAGAGCAAGCCAGGGAGCTCAACTGTGGCTCAGACATATGCAATTCAATGCTGATCCATAACCATGAGTTACAATCCCAACTTCCCTGGACCAGCAATCTCATGATATGAAACAGCTGCAAACAAGGGGAAACTGAGGCATGAGAAGGGGAAGAGAGATGCTCAGGAGTTGAGTTCTGGGAGGCAGTTTTACAATCAGAAACAGGCAAGTGAGACACAGTAGAACTTGGCTTGAGGTCTCACAACTAGCAGGACTATTTTTCAGTGGGGTAAATGTTTCTTAAATTTTAGACCTATCCATATTTGAATTTAGAAACTCTACAGGAAGGGGCAAAGCAGATGAGCAGGAGTTTCTGCTGCTCATTCAATCAGCTCCTCATCACTTGTTGCAGTTACAGAGCTTTCTGGGGAAATCCAGGGACAACGGCCCTAAGCAAACAAAGAATGGGCAGCTGTGGGGATAATTTGTGGGGGCTGGTGCTAGGCCCACTCAATTTTGTTGGCAGCTGACATGGGCACACCATAGTTCATATGTTTGTGTGATATAGATTCTAGTAATATTGGAGAGACACTTTTATTGGCGAGGGGTGGGGCGGGCATAGCTGGTAATGCTCATGGTTCACCCAGGATAAGTCAGGGTTATATACGTTTCTTCTCTCTCTCTCTCTCTCTCTCTCTCTCTCTCTCTCTCTCTCTCTCTCCTCCCCCCACCCTTCTCTCTCTTCCTCTCTTCCTTTTAGGCACTGGATTTGCAATACCGTTACTGAAAGGGTATCATGCATATCACTTTCCCTCCTTTCAGCACTTAATTCTTGTCCACAGTGATCATTTCTAACAATCATTGTCATACCGGTCCCTTCCCACTCAGGAATTGTTCCTGATGGTGCTTGGGGGACCATACCGGAAGCCAGAGATCAAGTCCGGGTTGGTTGCATGCCAGGCAAATGCCTTATCTGCTGTGCTATCGCTCTGGCCCCTCAGACACTTTTTTGATCTGGATGTGACATGCAGTTAAATGCCACCAAAGACTATCTCGAGACGGACAGATGCCTTATTCCTCTGTTTTTCTCATTCAGCGAATGGAGACCCTCTAAATGCAGGTGAGCAGGGAGAAGACGCATCCACAGAGTGAGCACTCAGCACAAATGCCTGGCAGCTGCATCAGGCGGCCTGCCCTGTTCCTGGGAGCTAGGAGAATGCTGGGAATGGGGCCAAGAGGCAGGGCCAGAATAGTAGATAGTCCTAGTAATAGCAAATACTGGATTTGAAAAAGTCTGCATTTTCCAGTAGGTCAAAGGTAAAATTCATAGACCACGAGATCTCAGACAGGAAACGCAAAACTTCACTGCAGCAGGACTGTGACTTTTAAAGGACCTTCCTCTAATATCTGCGTCTGAGCAGACATTAATTGAAATTCTTCTTTCTTCCCCATTGATTTAAGCTCCTGTCATTTACCCAACTTTTGAGACAACAGAGCAATTATTTCTAATGGTTGAGCCCCAACCAGGCACGAAGGCACTTTTGGGTATTTTTTGGGGGGTGGGGTAGGGGAAGGGGAGCACAGATTCTTTTCTGCCCCGGGGTCCTGGGGTGTCTAGCAGAAGGATTTGGAGAATCATCTCAGCCCGGAGCATCGTTTGCCAGGAAGATAAACTCTCCATGTCTGCTGCAAACTGGTTAAGAGCTTTGGCTCCAGTGTCTGGGTGAGACAGCCCGGGGTGAAAATGCTTTGGGATGGGGGATACCACTCCCTCGTGTCCCCCAAAGAGCCTCTGAGGTACCTCTTGACTGATGTCATTATCAATGACTGTCATTGTCATTGTGAAGCACAATTTGATTTGCTTGCTCAACTACGTAGGCCCTTTATGAGGGAATTGTCACCAAGGGTTCAGTAGGTTTCAGTGTCCCCTCCCTGAGTCCTGAATTCCTAAAGCTCAAAGTCCCTTAAAACAGTTAAAAAATAAATCCTTGGGGGAGGAAGGTGGGTACAATGGTGATAGGTGTGGTGTTGGCATTATGTGCACAAGGAACCATTATTCACAACAGTATTGTAAATGACAGACTCTCAATCAATAGAGGTTTTTTTTTTTTTTTAAGAAATTCTCCATTACAGCAACTTCTCAAACAAATCAATAAAATATCCTGAAACCCAGCCTGTTTAAAAAAATTTTTTTAATTGAATCACCATGAAATTACACAGTTACAAAATTGTTCATGATTAAGTTTCAGTCATACAGGGCTCTAAGGCCCATCCCTTCCACTTTCCCACCACCAATGTCCCTAATATCCCTCCCATCCACCTCCCCCCATCCCAGTGGCCTGTCTATAGGGTAGATACTTTACTTCTCTCTCTCTCTCTCTCTCTCTCTCTCTCTCTCTCTCTCTCTCTCTCTCTCTTCCTTTCAGGCACTGTGGTTTGCAAGACTTTACTGAAAGTGTATAAGGGTATCATGCTTATCACTTTCTCTCCTTTCAGCACTCAGTTCTGATCCAGAGTGATCATTTTTGACTATCGTTGTCATGGGTGGTCCCTTCTCTGTCCTAACTGCGCTGCCCTACCCCCTTGGTGGCAAGCTCCCTACCCCAGATCAGTCCAGTCCTCCTGGTCGTTGGGCCAAACCTGTCTTAGCTGCTGCATTCTCTGGACGGGGCTAAGCGGGAAAGTGGTGGCAGGATTCTTACCTGGTATCTGTCCATCGTGGAGATGAGCAGTGTGAAGGAAATGGCGGTGGCTGCCATGGCGTGGGTCGATGGCATCCCGTACTCGGCCATCACCCTCCGCTCCAGCCTCACCACAGGTGGGGAGAATGGGCGAGGCCACTTCAGAATATCCTTGGCCACTTGGCCAACGTACATCACCAGCTGCAAAGTCAAAGGAAGTGCGGTAAGCCTAATCCAATCAGCAGCATGAACGCCTCCCTAGAGGGGCAGGATTCCTTAGCTATTGGCTGCACTCACATTTCTCTCTTACCCCGCTCCCCATGGGAAACAGCACAGAGGAGATAGCTCTGTTGGTTAAATGAGGAAAAGAGTTTCTGAATTCCACCGGGCCACAGTAGGATAGGACATTTGTCCACTTGGTCATGTAGTATTGAACAAATGCTTGTACAGTTTGTTTGTGTGCTTGGAAAATAAGCATCAGTTAACAACGTAAAATGCAGGGGCTGGAGCGATAGCCCAGTGGGTAGGACATTTGCCTTGCACACGACTGACCCGGGTTTGATTCCCAGCATCCCATATGGTCCCCTGAGCACCATCAGGAATAATTCCCGAGTGCATGAGCCAGGAGTAATCCCAGTACATCGCTGGGTGTGACCCCAAAAAGCAAAAAAATAAATAATTTTTTAAAAATGTAAAATGCAGATTATCAGGTCTTAACGTACTGAAACTGAACACCTATTTCCTCAGGAATCCCTGTGGTTCATATGCATGTGAGAATATGTCTTTTTTAATTTTTTTCTGGACTCAATTCATGGAAATTCTCAACTTCCAAACAGATTGACCTTACCAAAGCTTTACTTAGATAGAGCTGCATAGCTCTGAACTACCCACTTTTTAAAACTATTTTTATATTTGCTTTTTTGGGGGGTCATACCTGGCGATCCTCAGGAGTTAACTCCTGGCTCCGCACTCAGGAATCACTCCTGGCGGTGCTCAGGGGACCATATGGAATGCTGGGGATTGAACCCGGATCGACCGCTTGCAAGGCAAACACATTCCCCCTCTACGCTGTACTATCACTCTGGCCCCTGGAATTACCCACTTTAAAGAACAATTTCAAAATCATTTCATTAACACTCCAGATTCCTGGAGAGGCTGCCTTCATTCAGAGACGTGTCTTTACCCCTTTTGGTTGCTGATATATTCTGAGCGCACCTCCTACATACTCAGAGCTTTCTGCATCAGCTTTTCTGCACTGTGGCCACAGGATCATAAACCAAGAGAATCTCCTTGTGCACAGCAGGCCTATCTGGGGCTTTCCAACCTCAGCAGCAAGCACTCTGAATTCCGGAACTGGGATTTCCTTTCTTTCTTTCTTTCATTCTTTTTCTTTCATTCTTTTTCTTTCTTTCTTCTTCTTTCTTTCTTTCTTTCTTTCTTTCTTTCTTTCTTTCTTTCTTTCCCTTCCTTCCTTCCTTCCTTCCTTCCTTCCTTCCTTCCTTCCTCCCTCCCTCCCTCCCTCCCTCCCTCCCTCCCTCCCTTCCTTCCTTCCTTCCTTCCTTCCTTCCTTCCTTCCTTCCTTTCTCTCTCTCTTCCTTCCTCCCTCCCTACCCCCCTCTCTTTCTTTCTTTCTTTCTTTCTTTCTTTCTTTCTTTCTTTCTTTCTTTCTTTCTTTCTTTCTTTCTGGCTTTTTGGGTCACATCCGGCAATGCACAGAGGTTACTCCTGGCTCATGCTCCCAGGAATTACTCCTGCTAGTGTTTGGGGGACCATATGGATGCTGGGAATTGAACCCAGGTTGGCCATGTGCAAAGCAAATGCCCTACCCATTGTGCTATGGCTCCAGCCCCCAGAACTGGGATTTCTAATGGAACTTTGAAACGCAACCTTTCCACCATCCCAATGACTGGGAACAACTTCTCTGGAGACCAACTCACTCTTTTGTGTCTCTGCCTCCCCCCCTTACCCTTCCCAACCCCCCGTGACCCTATAAAAACCACATCAGGCTATTATCTAGGAAGTGGAAAAACTGGCAGATCTTTCTGACTACCAAGAACTTCTCAGATGCCGTGGGAGATCTATTTCCCAACCCTTCCCCTTTCCCACTCACCCACATAAATGAAATATTACAGGCCTGATGACTAACTCTTGTTGACTAAAAACAAAACAAAACAAAACAACAACAACAAAAAACCCTTAAAAGCCTCACACAGGAAACTTTCAACTTACAGATGGGCCAACCATTCATCATTCAGAGTTTAATCTCAAAATTCAGGTTCTAGCTCTTTGGCCTTTTTGCCTTTTTATTATTATTATTATTATTATTATTATTATTATTATTATGCCTTCCTTGTTTCAAATATTTTGTGTGTATTTGTGTGGGGGGCATCACCCCCATCAGCCCATCAGCACTCAAGGGTTATTTTTTGCCCTGTGCTTAGGGATCACTCCTATTGAGGCTCAGAAGAACATATGTGGTGTTGGGGATTGAATCAGAATTGGCCATGTGCAAGGCAAGTGCCCTGCCCACTGTACTATCTCTCCAGTTGTTTTGAAGCACCCAGGGCAACTGTTCATTTCATTTAACATTAGACCACAGCAATGTAATGAGTCGGATCAATACAGTTCAAGTAATACAGTACACTTCAGTATACAGTTCTTTCTTAGTGAGAGAAAATAGAATTCTATTTTTCAAGTCACAGGAAAGAGAACCCTTGCCTTGGTCACTGTCATGTATTATAACAAACCAAGGAGATGTCAACCACTGTACTAGGACCCCATTCTCAAGTGGAGAAAAGGTCACACAAGCAGAGAAACTCATAAAAATGTGACCAAGCCCAGGAAACATCATTCACTTGATTCTAGGGTCTATGTAGATACGTAGGGGGAGAGAGAGAGAGAGAGAGAGAGAGAGAGAGAGCGTTCTTTGCTTTTGTTTTACTTTTATTTGGAGGGCACACCTGGCAATACTCAGGGGTTGCTCCTGGCTCTGCACTCAGGAATGACTCCTGGCAGTGCTCAGGGGAACATATGGAATGCTGGGAACCAAACCTAGGCCAGTTACATACAAAGCAACTGTCCAACATGCTATACTATCTCTGCAGACCGAGAGACAGACTTTGGTCCAACTTGAAGGACCAGGAGCACTGGGTTGAAGATTGTTTAACAGGAGGGATGACGGAGGAATTCAGGAGGCAGGGGACACCAGAAGAAAGTCTGGCAGCTGGCCATAATGGGAAGGGCTGACCAGGCCAGAGTTGCGGGGAAGATCTGAAACTCTCATACATCCTGGATAAGGACCTAAAAGGTACCACCACTATTAAAGATAATTTGACATTTTCATAAAAGTGAAACATTCTTTCCTGCTCTAGTTACACCACAGCCAGGTATTTGTCCTCAAGGAATGAAAACTTCAGTCACACCCAAAACTTGTATGTGTGTGTTCATAGCACCATCTTGGTGACAGCTCCTGGCAGGAAATAATCCAATTTCCATCAATAGGTGAATGATATACAGTGGTAAAATCTACTACTGAATCCTACAAACACACACACACACACACACACACACGTATGCATGCACACACACACACACACATACACGCACGTGGAACTACTGATGTATGCAATAACTTGGATGCATTTTAAAATGCTTTGTTGAGTGAGGAAGCCAAACCTAAAAAAGTATCTAACAAGTGATTCTATTTATGTAATCTTCTTCACCCTATAGGGCAGAAAACAGACCACTGTTTCCCTTGGAATGAGGAGAAGAACTACAAATAGGCATAAGGAAACTTTGGGGGTTGAAGGAGCTCGAGCTTAATGAAAGTGATGCCTTCGGGGTATGTTCAGATGCCCAAATATCCAAAAGTGTCCACTGGTACCAAACTGTACATTTTAAATATGTGCACACCTTTGTCAATAAACTGAAAATGATTGAACTGCTTATTGACATGAGTGAATTACACTGGGTATGAGTCATGCCCAATAAAGTGTAACAGTTGATTCTGACAACTGCATCTCAAAAAGTGGTTGTCCTCATCAGCTTGGTCTTAGAAGGAAGCAATCAATTAGAGATCATTAAAAACTTAGCACACTGATGGGATCCCCTGTGAAGCAAGAAGGTGGATTGGGAAGCATTTCTTGTTGTTTTTTTTAATTTTTTTTATGAAACACCATGAGATACAATTACAGACTTACACACTTTCTTGATTACATTTCAGTCATACAATGGTTGAGTGTCTGCACCCATCCCTCCACCAGTGCCCATTCTCCACCACCAATGTTCCCAGTTTCTCTCCTGCCACCCCCATCCCATCCCTCACACCCTGACTCTGTGACAGGCGCATTCTCTTTTACTCTCTCCTTTTGGGTGTCATGGTTTGCAATACAGGTCTTAAGTGACCATCATGTTTGGTCTATAGTCTACTTTCAGCATGCATATCTCATCCCGAGCAAGCCCTCCAAGCATCCTTTGCTTGGCTGTCCCTTCTCTGTCTCAGATGCCTTTTCCCCAGCATGTGAGGCTGGCTTCCAAGCTGTGGAGGAATCCTCCTGGTCCTTATCTCTACTATCCTTGGGTGTTAGTCTCCCATTGTGTTGCTTTATATTCCACAAATGAGTGCAGTCATTTTATGTCTGTCCCTCTCTTTTTGACTCATTTCACTTAACATGATACTCTCCATGTCGATCCACTTATATGGGAAACATTTCTTGAATCACCAGAGAACCGGGAGGTTTCTGCCCAACAATGAATGCATTTCTTACCTTTGGAGATGGGATGTCCAAGGTCAAGTCTGTTCCCTAGGTCCCAGGAAACCCTCTTCTCAGCTTGTGGGAGGTCTAGAGGGGTCTATTTTATAAGGGCACTATTCTCTTTGATGAGAACCTCTTCATGACCAAACCTCTTCTTTTAGGGAAGAGGTGTTCAAGTCACCCCCAGAGGTACTCAGGTCTTATTCCTGGATCTCTGCTCAGGGACCATTCTGAGGGCTGCTGCTGGGGGTGGGGGCCTTAGCCAGTGCCATATACTGAACCTGGGCCAGCCTGCAGGGCAAGCACCTTACCCTTGTATCATCTCTCTGGCTCTAAACACCTTCTAAAGCCCCACCTCCCCTACTTCCATATTGGGGGTAGGTTTCAACAGGTTAACATGCCTAAAGCAGCTCTGAAATGTGGGGGAGGCTGTGAGATGTGGGTTGC